TTATGTAATAAAATAAATTTTTTATTTCTTAAAAATTTTAAGTTTGAGTAACAACTACGTCTGTAAGGTATATATTATCAGCAAATTAATAAAATTTAAAATAAATATTATATTATAATAACTCTAAAATATTAAAAAAAATAATGTATAATTATGGATATTACAAAATTAAGAACATTAATCTCATGTGTCAACAAAATTTATGGTGCAATGATAAAATATTTTAGGTGCTGAGATGAGTGACTAGCAGATGCAATATTTCTTTGACCTTCTTGATTTGAAAAAATTAAAAGAATTTTCTTTTTATTAAATTTTTTTATTACTCTCGCACAAGATTTTAGTTGGTGATTATCTCAGTAGAAATTTTATACATATATAAAAATTTAAATTTGAGACATATTCAAATAATATCAAATTACTTATCATTTAAATTAATTTATTAATTGTTTTCTTTTGCTCTCTTCCTCTTGCTTTTTGTGGGTCTGAAAAATATATAATGTAATAATAACCATAAACATAGAATAGTGGTCGGAATATTTTATATGTTTTTTTAACAAAAAGTTCAAGTAATGGGTGACTTCCTCAAATTAAAATGCAGGTTATGGGTGACTTCCTCAATAAAGGGTCAGAATATATTTAAAATAAGATTTATATAAGAATTTATAGATTACTTATCAAGAGTGATAATAATAAGATTTGAATTTATTCTTATAAATTCAAATTTCTAAATAGTAACCGCTTGTGTGAATACTCGTTAACATAATATTTTATGTGCCTTGAAATAATTAAATTAATTATCGTACAACATTTATTTATTTCTAAATTAATTAAATTTCTAAATTAATGTTCAATTTTAAAATGGTGTATTACAGTATTAGCGTACAACAGCGTAATCAAAATTAAATTAATTAATAAGATTTAATTTCGCAAAACTTTTACAAATCTCCATACATAGAAACAAAAAGCCCAAAAGGACAATATTTATTTATTTATACTAAACAACAATGACTAACCTGACAAATATAAGATTATTTGGAATCTATATTATGAGAACTTGGAATTTATATACTCTTTCCTTAAACCTTATAAATTACCAGCATCAATAACAAAATGGAAATTTACCCACACATAAATGAAGGATTCATTCCTGATTCGTGAACCATATGCATAAACAACAAACGCAAACCTCAATTGTGCAGAAGAAAAGATCGGTGAATCAGAAAATTCCAGATTTTTTTAAAGAGAAATCCTTAATTTAAAACCGTATAATCTCCAGAAGCATCCCAAATTCACAAAAATCAGCCAACAAAATCAAAAAGGAAAAAAAAACTAAAGTAAATATACATTTGGGGACGGGGGAGACTCTTATTGGGAAAAAGAAGAAGAAGAAATCTACCTAGACAAGTGAAAAATGGAGTGGAAGATCCAAGAAAACCCTAGACGGAAACGAGGATAAAACCTAAGTGCATACAAGATGGTCTCTCGGAGCATATCTTCGATCGCCTCCACGAATAGGCTTAGGCTCCGAATCGGCGGCACATAAAGGGTTAACGGCACCGCCGAGAAAGCCACCGTGAAGAACAGCTGCGGCATCTGCTTTGGATTTTTCCTTGATTTGTTTTCTTTAGACGAAAAAGAAAATTAAACTTCAAATTTGAAGAAGGAAAAATGTGGTAAGTAGAGGGAGCTTGAAATTGAATGGTTGCTGGGGAAATTCGTGGATGCCAACTCCAATTTTGTAATATTGGTGGCAGCGCAGACCTCTCTGCACAATTTTATTTTATTTATTTAATTTGGATCTGATTTTATAAGTCAATTATTTATTAAAAGAGTAAATTACATAAATTACCCTTAACTTGTTTCTCTCTCTTATGTTATTCATTTTAAATTAAAACTTTTCAATTTACTCATTAAACTTTGGAATTACTCATAGTTTGGTCACTCCGTCATTTAAATTACATGGATTATTTTAATAATTTTAACTATGACATGGATATTTTTAGTATTTAATGGGATATAATATTTATAATAAAAAAATAAAATTAAAGTATTCAAACCCTAATTCTAATCTTCATGCTTAACCCAAAAATACAACCCCAATTACAATCGATCACTGCCAAACTCCAAAACTTTCATTGATCATACCCTCATCGTTTCTTCCCCGCAATTATTTATTCACCATAGTCACGCCTACGATACAAAGAACCAAAGTGAATACTACATACAAGATTGCTCCAAATGCAGTGACGAAAAAGGTACGAGAAAGGGTCCAACTTTGGACATGGTTGTCGATAGAAAATAGAAGCCAATGGATGGGAGTGGAAGAATGAAGAAGATACACAATCATTATGCAAACAGAATAACATCAACAATTTCACATCGATGACGATTCAACCACTCTGATGAAGGGTGCATGCTCGTACATGACAGATTTTTTTCCTCTATCGTCCCACAACTAACAACAGAAAATCAAATCTTCCTCCGACCAGATGAGAGCTGCGCAACACTGCCATCTCACTACCTAGGCCTTTGCATGCGAACTAGTGCCCTTGAGCACTACAATTGGAGAACCATTATCCCAAAATATAAATTAGCTGACCCTATTCCCATATGTAATGGGGTAAAGGGAGATAGAGTAGTAGGTTGCCCTAACACCAGGTTGTGAACAGCTTCCGTGGAAGACCTCCGATATAAATTGCCCTCAGTGGGACTCGATCCCACGACCACAAGATTAATAGCCTTGCGCTCTTACCCAAAAAGTAAAAATCGCGTGGCGTTTTGGCACAAACAAGCGTGATGGTTGAAGTCTCGATCTATTCAGATTAAGGAGAAAAATGGATATGAAAAGAATAAAAGAGAAGGGGAAAGAGGGGGGAAATAGGCTTCAAACGGAGGAGAGAAATGGGGGGCATTCAAACCGAGAGAAATGATGAGAAAACGGGGGAGGAAAGGAAGAAATGATGAATGAGCAGGAAATAAGAAAAAAAAAGATTTTTATAAGAAATCAAAATGATGGTGTTTTGAATTTAAATTTAGTTTTTTTTCAAATATTCAAAACGTTGTCATTTAGGTAAGTTACCGTATTATAATGTCGTTAATTATCTAATGATAAAGTGATCAAAAAATTCAATCTTCAATGTTCAATGAGTAAATTGAAAAGTTTTAAAGTTCAATGAGAAAAATAGGAAAAAGAATAAAGTTCAATGACAATTTATATAATTTATCCTTATTAGAAAACCAAATGGAATATAATTTTAGTTGTAATATTGACCGGTACATTTCAAAGTAATAAATTGGTAGATAGGTCTCAACTTTTTGCAGGATTTCATGAAGTTATAGAACTTCATTATGAAAACATAAAGAAATTAATATGAAAATATTTTCCTTTCTAAAAATATAAAATTTTAAACCCATTAAACAATTTCAATGATAAAATTAGAGATCTCAAATTCAAACACCGACATCTATAGATTGTATAAGCATTATCAATAATTAAAAAATACTCAATAAATATTATTTTTTAATCATTCATTGATAATTAAAAAATACTCAATAAAATATTATTTTTTAATCATTCATTACTAAAAAAAAGTAATATTTGATCTATCTTTTAAATTTAATGAGATCAGGGTGCTGGAGTTAAAAAGAACTTTAAAATAAAATACAATTTAACTCATCAATATATATTAGAAAAAGTATTTTTTTTTTATAAATCTAGGGTGAATAAAATGTAATATATATTTATTTAGTTTTAACTATTTTAACAATGAACGTTCTATCCTTATATATGTGATGTTTTATTTCAAAAAATAACAATGATCTTTTAATTATTAAGATTGTCTAATTCGTGGTACGTGAATCATTTATTATTATTTTGAAATAAATTCAATCATTTATTAAAAGTGCCACTTACTTTGGATTTTAATTGAATCATGATTTCTAAATGTTTTTTTTCTTTATCCATAGTCCTGTAAACGAACCGAACGTTCTGTGAATCGTTCGGCGGGAAATTCGTTTATGTTCGTTTATTTATTAAACGAATGAACATGAATAAGATTTTATGTTCGTTTAATTAAATGAACAAACACAAACAAATGGCTCGTTCGTTCATTTACGTTCGTGAACGTTCGATAATATGTTCGTTTATGTTCATTCGTTTATGTTCGTTCATTTATGTTCGTTCGTTTATGTGTGTTCATTTATGTTTAGCCTAATATCTATAGACCCATTTAAAATATTAAAGTTCAATAAATTTTAATATGATACACATAAATATTTTAAAATTCAATTAATTTTAAATACAAATAAAAAACCTCCCAAAAAATTAAATAAAATATAATCCTAAAATTGTTAGGAAAGAAAAAAATCTATTTTTCATTTATGTCCGTTTACGTTCGTTTATGTTAATTTATTGTGTTCGTTCGTTTGTGTTCGTTTACATCCGTTCATTTGTGTTCGTTTACATCCGTTCATTTATGTTCGTTTAACGAACATGAACGAACACGAACAAGTTACATTCCTTAACGAACGAACACGAACAAGAAGTTCGTTTATATTCGTGTTCGTTCATTTGTTCGGTTAAAGATAAACGAACGAACATAAACATACCTCCGTTCGTGTTCGTTTGATTCGTTTACAGCCCTATTGATCAGTACTTCTCGGTAATGGATTTTGTGATGTAGCTTCTATTCTATGTTAATTAGAGAATACGTGCCACCTTCTTCAATTATAAATGAATTTAAAAATGGTAGGATAACTTCCCCCCTTAATTTTATTAATTTAATAATTTTAAATCTTGAATTTTCATAATTTATTTTGGTCTTGAACATTTATTCATTATCAAATTAAATTCAAACATAATAAAACAATAATATTGAGGGTAAAAATAACTTATAACAATCAACTTGAATTAGCCCAAAAATAAGATGGAACTGAGCGGTAGGGCTATAAGTTGCAAGTTTCCGATCCACTTCAATTCTCCCAAATCGGTGAGGGATCTAATGTTCCATCAATTCCTGGAAGCGGCAAATACCCCGGACGCAAAACCTCCCAAAAACCCTTTGAGCCTCAGCCAACACCCCTTGGAGCAAAACTACAGAAACATCTGCAACATTCTCCTCTCTTTAACCCACAAAAGGTCCCTCTCAAAGGGTCTCCAGCTCCATGCCCACATCATCAAATCAGGGATCCAAACTATCCCTCTAGTTTCCCATCACCTCATCAACTTCTACTCCAAGACCCAACTCCCTCTCTTTTCTCGCTTAGTCTTCTTCGAAGTCCCACATAGAAGTCCCACTACATGGAGCTCCGTCATCTCCAGTTTCGCCCAAAATGAGCTCCCTTGCGTCGCGCTCCAGTTCTTCCGTGATATGCTTGCGGATAACATCAGGCCCGACGATCATATCTTCCCTAGCGCTACTAAGTCATGTGCCATCCTGGGAAGGTTTGATATCGGGAAATCGATGCATTGCCTGGTTTTGAAAACTGGGTATGATACCGATGTGTTTGTAGCCAGTTCTTTGGTTGATATGTATTGTAAATGCAGGGAAATTAAGGATGCGAGGAAATTGTTCGATGAAATGCCTGAGAGAAATGTTGTTTCTTGGAGTGGGATGATATATGGGTATGCTCAGTTTGGTGAATTCGAGGAAGCTTTGGGGTTATTCAAACAGGCTTTATATGAACGTTTGGACGTGAATGATTTTACTTTTTCAAGTGTTGTACAGGTTTGTGCTAACTCGACTCTGCTTCAGTTAGGTAAGCAGATACATGGGTTGTGCTTTAAAACGAATTATGATCTGTCAAGTTTCGTGGGGAGTTCTTTGATATCTTTGTATTCTAAGTGTGGAGTGATAGGAGGGGCTTACCGCGTGTTTGATGAAGCCTCTGTTAAGAATCTTGGGATGTGGAATGCAATGCTGATTGCTTGTGCTCAGCATTCACATACTGAGAAAGCTTTTGATTTGTTTAAACAGATGGAAGGACTTGGGGTCAAACCGAATTTTATTACCTTTTTGTGTGTGCTCTATGCTTGTAGCCATGCGGGGCTTGTTGAGAGGGGGCAGCATTACTTTGAATTAATGAAGGAATATGGAATTGAGCCAGGTGATCAACATTATGCTTCTTTGGTTGATTTATTTGGCCGCTCAGGTAAACTGCAGGAGGCACTTTCAATCATCAGGGAAATGCCCATTCGGCCAACAGAGTCTGTCTGGTCTGCTTTTCTGACAGGGTGTCGAATTCATGGGAACACTGAATTGGCGGCCTATGCTGCTGATAGGATCTTTGAGTTGGGACCTGTGAGCTCAGGTTTGCATGTGTTACTGTCTAATGCTTATGCCGCTGCTGGTAGATATGAGGATGCCGCCAAAGCTAGGAAGATGCTTAGAGACCGAGGAATTAAGAAAGAGACAGGTTTGAGTTGGGTTGAGGAGGGAAATAAGGTTCACACATTTGCTGCTGGGGATAGGTCCCATTCAAAAACAAAAGATATCTACCAAAAATTAGAGGAATTAGGAGACGAAATGGAGCTAGCTGGTTATATTGCAGACACAAGTTTTGTGCTGAGAGCCGTCGATGGTGAAGAAAAGAATCAGACAATCAGATATCATAGTGAAAGGCTAGCCGTTGCATTTGGGCTCATTACCTTTCCACCAGATAGGCCAATCAGGGTTATGAAGAACTTACGCATCTGTGGTGATTGTCATACAGCAATCAAGTTTATGTCCAAGTGTACTGGAAGAGTAATTATTGTGAGGGATAACAACCGGTTTCATCATTTTGAGGATGGAAAATGCTCTTGTGGTGACTATTGGTGAATGAATTAAATTCATAGAAAGAGTATAGTGTCATAGTGTGAGACAAAGAAGCAGCCAGCTATTTTGAGGATGTCAACAATACTTCTCTGATGACTATAGATGAACAAGTTGTAAAATATTATTTATTGTACCTTAACAAAAATTTGAAATTAGAAGGGGAAAATAAAACTGATGAAAACCTTTTTATATGTTGCTTCTCTGATGGTTAATCTATTTTTGTTTATGCGATGTTTGATGCTCAAGGATTACCAAGGCACTCTGAATATGTTTGCTTGTAACGTGTTGTTTTGGTGCTTACTATCCTATGTTTAAGTGTAATGTTTGATCATGCCATGTTATTTACCTTCAATGGTTGATTACATCTGTTGCATGGATTTGTGGACTTCACTTTCTTTTGAGGTTAGAATTGCTAGTCATAAACCTCTGTAAAGCAGGCATGCTAGAGTTTAGCAGCCACTTTACTATCTGTGGCACTGATAAAGTGTTATTCAGTAGATAGTAGGCCGAAATTACCTAATTTCTGCACATATTAATTGAGGTTTTATCATCGAGGCTATCGAAAAGTCTGTATCAAGAAGAAAGGCTTCCGAAGGGCAGTTTTGCTGCACATTGAAATGCTAATTTCCTGATTTTCTCTTATTTCACAGGCTATTGCTAAGTGCTAACCTGAAAAAGAAACACTGTTAGAGAATATGTTTGCTTGATTACTTTCGAATGTTTATATCATTAGATATAAACAAGGGGAGAATGCAAAAATTTGCTTCAGCGTTGGGTGCATCAACTTCCAATGACAGATGCCAAAGCCTGTTGTTTGTTTTTCTTCCCTTAAATGTCAACCCATTACTTTATAATTAACATTGTTCTTTAGTTTTTTCTTTTATCTCCTTTGGGTTGTTTTCAGTGTGATGCTCTGATTAAATCAATGACTCTTCCATATATACGATTACATTTTTATGAATTTCATTGGTTTATTATCTTTTTATTTGTACGAGAATTTCAGAAAATATCATTCAACTCTTGTTTTCATTGATTAAAAGTATAGTTGTTCCAACTGCTAAATATAGAAGAAAAAACCCTTTGGATATCGTTTTTAAGGATGTTGCAGAATTTTTTCTTTTCTTTTCTTAGAGGAACGAATGCATGGTATAATCTTTATGGTGAAGCGAGAGAGATGGCTGTTTATCCTCCACGAAAGGCAAGCGGATTTTTCCTTTTTTATTGTATATTTAAACAAGCGTTTACTTATTTAGCTTTAACCTCGTTTTAATAACAAAGCAAGTTATTGCTAAAGGCCACGGTGCATGGAAACCATTAGCATATTGTAGACTTCCATTTTTGTCTGGGTCTACAAAAATATTATTATTGTTTTACTAATATTATTTAATTACATTTTTTGTAAGACCAATCCCTAAGCCTAGTTACCCTAAGCCTAGTTACGAATCACTCAGCCAACTCAAAGCCCAACTCAACAACCCAACCTAGATGCAACTGGACCCGACCCGGTTAAAGCCCAACAACCGAAACTGACCCGATCCGATTCAAGTCACCACCATACCCTGCTGCCAGTCACCATACCCTGCTCCACAACACCGTCACGCCTCACCATACCCTGTGCAACCATGTTTCTCGACAATCCCAGCAGACTCCCACGTGATGCAACAACCCCACCATGCCCTGTCAACATCTAATCAAACAACAAACCATCACCAATCATACGCAAGGAAGATTAAAGGAGAGCAACCAGATTCAACAAGGGGGATTCGGTGGGAAGAGAAAGAAAAAAAAACCCAGACAAAAATTTGCATGGGGGTTTTCCAGTAACAATGTTAGAGGAAGAAACCATTTGTAAGAGGGGTCTCTCGATCCCTATTCGAGAAACAATACAAAAAAAATTTAAAAGGTTTCTCAATCTCTTTTCCAGTTTTTTATTATTTTTTATTATTTTGCTTTGTGTTCGAATCTAAATAAGAGAAAAGAAAGAGTTTTGGTTTTGTTACCTGACCATTCATGGTCTCGTTGAAGAGGAGGGTAGATTCGAATGCAAAACCAAAAAAAAAGCAAAGGCCTCTCGGCGGCCACTCTCCTCCATTAGCATCTCGTCCTCACAATCACCATACAAAAAAAATATACACTGTAAATATCCCAAACAAAATCGAAGAAAAAAAGAGAAGAGAAGAGGGGTTATCATTTGGCTAGCTGGAGAAAACGGCGACCGGGACTTCCGTTCGAAGATCCGAACGGTCAAATGAAGGAGGAGGATGAGAAGAACTATATACTCCAAAATGACGACGATCGGACGGCGACAAATCCGAGAGAGGAAGACCAAACATGTTCATGGCTTTTCGTTGAACTTGGGGCCGATTCTCACGAAACTGACCCCAGATCATAGACGGGGAGGCCGAGAAAGACCTCCCGGTATAATTTGGTGGCCACGGGCAGCGGATAGCGGCGGACGGCACGACGGCCGACGAAGGTAACCCACCAGCAACCGACCGATTTTCTAGAGAGAAGGGAGACCGTCTCTCTCTCTAAAAACTATTTTTTAAAAAATGAAAAAATAAGATGATATTTATAGAAAACTTTAGGGGAAATTGCACTTAGGTCCCCCTAAGTTTGGCGTATTTTTGCAAAATGGTCACCTACAGAGACCGTTTTTGTAGTTTACCCATTTCTTATGCATGTTATATATTTTTGGTTTAATTTCTGTTTGGTCCCTTTACTTTTAGGCGTGTTTTTCATTTTGATCATGTGTGGTGATTGTTTAATTTTTTTAATACTTAATGACTAATTTAGTGATTTCTCTTTTTTACTTCTCATCACTAATTTTTTAGTTTATTTTCTTCGAGGTCCGTATATTTCATGCATATTTTTCATTTCAGTCCCTGAATCTCTGTATTTTATTTATTTCATTTTTGGCACTTTAGTTTTATTACTTTCAATTTAGTCACTAACATGTTATATTCTCTGTTTATTTATTTTAATTTTGACATTTTACTTTCTGTTTCTTTTATTTTAGTCACTAACTTATTAGCACTCTAACATTTATTTTATTATTCAAACTAACCCCCTAACTTTTAAATTTATGCAATTTATTTCTATTTTTATTTTAGTTATTTATTTTTCAGCACTTTAAATTCCAGCATTTTATTTTCCAGCCCTTTAACTTGTTAGCATTTTATTATTTCAGTCCTTAATTAATATTTTAAAAGATAAATATTTAGTGTACTATGGATCCTAGATTTTAATATGAGTTCATTTTGATCATGGTTTTTACACTTTATTACTTTGTCTTTTTTTATTTAATAATCTTATTAGGTTACTTTAAATTTTTATTTTTATTATTATTATTATGAATCATTTAAGTAATATTTTGCTTATTCATTTTTATGTTTATTATTATATTACATGTAACTATATTTGTTTGGTATTCCATAATTCTTGTATGCTTGTATATTGATTATCTGTATATATTATATTCATATTAATTGATCTTGTGTCAGCATTTTAAGGAATCTCTCGTATGCAATTAAATGTTTTAGTAACTTACTCGAATGTTTTTCAAGAACTGTATTTGCAGAATGGGCGTTGAAATCATTACTTGATCGAAATAATGCGATCTGATATGACATTCGATCAAAATTTGAACTTGAAATAAATCGATTTTATTTTGCTAATCAATTCTTTTTATTTTAAGTTGAACAATGCAATGCATGTTTCTAAATAACAATTTATTTTATAAAAAAATGTCGATTTTTCATTTATATTCAATTCGTTTTTTTTAAATCAATGAGAAGAGAATATTTTTTTACTGATAAGAAATAGGCGAGATAGCTTTCCCAACAGAGGATTGCTAATTTCAAGATTTCTTCTCGAGTTAAAGAATTTTCCCTAACAATATAAATAATTCGAAGCAACTCAATAAATAGGTCATATTTTAACTTTATATTCGATTCATGATTTTCACCACTACGACAACGTGTAAGCGATTGAGTACCAATTTTGGGCGCTGTGGGGTGCTAATCCTTCCCCACACGTAATCGACTCTCGAACCCGTTAAAATGAATCTTTGATAACGCAGACCGAATTTTGTCTTAAAAAACGATTTTTCCTAAAATTGTTTTAAAGGACGTTTTTAGGTACTCGACCTACTTAACCCAAAGGTCGATGTATACTCCTATCCAATCTAATTCCAATCAATTCAAAATCTCAAAATTAAAAAAAAAAGTCATAATTGTTTAAAAAAAAATGAGTATGACACCTATCTGTGAAGACGACTGGAACAGGAGTCTGTTGCACCAATCGTGGTTCTTGAGCAATTCATTTTGATAATAATTTAAGTTCTTTCCACCTTTTTTTAATACAAAAAAAAATTTGTGAACTTCTCTACGTTGATGAACAACTTGTTATTATTTTAAACATTTTCGTGGGGGATTTCTGGGCCTTGTTTATCTAAGGGAGGTTTACGCAATACCTGGTCCTGCAGAACTTCTCATTTTTTGAGGAAAAATCCAGCAAAGTTACTTTCTAATCAACCCTTTAACTTTTGAATTCCTGTAAGTCCATTTCCATTCCTTTAAATTCTTTTTATCTCTCTCTCTTACCCTCTTCTTTGGAGGATCTTCAACTTTGCATGCAGGAAGAATTCCTATTTTTTTTTTTTTTTACATTTTCACAATTATAAAAAGGTGGTGAAATCTTAGCCATTGAACTTGGTGCACGCCAATTGCTTGTTGGACAATTCGCACTCTATTCATGGCGGTTGATGGCGTTTCAAGTGTGTGGAACAATATGGGAAAGTTGCCCCTTTTCGCGTTTTTCAGAGATTCAAGGTATTCTTCATTTTCCAGAAATATTTTTTTACAAAAGAAAATTCACCAAAGTTTAAAACGATGACCATGGTTGAAACTTTTATTACTCTCTGATCACAATAATTTTGCAGGAATGTTCTGAAGACGGATGAACTAGGCATGGAAATAGCAAACATTGGATTGCCCGCAACA